TTACTTTGCTCCTATAAAGTGTTTACTCTAATATTTCTGATAACAAAGTTTCATCAGGATTTAAAGCTCTGAATAAATTAAAATCAAATTTTCCTTCTTCTGGCATCAACTTTTGACACATTTTATCAATTGCAATAACTGCCAAACAAGTCTGTACATAAGCATCTATCAAATCATCAACTCCTATGCCTAATTGATTAAAATCTTTACGGTCCATCAACAATAACCGTTCTGATTCTGATGACCATTCACCATCAGCTTTTTTTACAGATAAATTTGTGCCTAACATTTCCCAAGAAGTTACTGTTTTAAAATACATTGATTATTAATAAAAAATATAAATAAAATCAAAATATATATTAATGAAAGATAAATACTTGATGGATTATCTTCTAGATGACTCAAAAGAGGTTTTCTTGCTCTTCTTGCATAAATGCTTACAGGTTGAAAGCCATTTTTACCAGCTGTTATCATCACACGAAGATCACTTACATAAGTATGATTGCGTTTGTTTGGGATTGTTCCTACATGATAAAACTTTCCAGACCTTGTGACAGATGACCATGATGCATTACCAACCAATGATTGTACAATAAATTTGTCATAATGATGATCTTTGTCTAGAAATTCTTGAAGTTCTTGTGGATTTGTTATTGTGTAGACACCTTGACCTAATAATAATAATATTATTATTATTAAATTTATTAAATTACAAGTAATAATAATATTTATTTATTAATAGTTACCAGCATTACTATATGGCACTTTTAATACAGCATGACCACCCATACTATGAATCCATAATGGAATTTCACTTCTGGTAACATTGTTGATTGTTTCAGGTACTCTGATAGCCAAACCAGTATCCACTAATTCAGCATTGAAGAATTCATAGGCTCTATCAGCCATCATTTTGTTACGACCACCAGCAAGACAAGAGACTATTTCATTCATTACTATTGTACGAGTACTAAGAGGGATGCGATTCCATGGTCTTTGAGTAACATAACGGAAACATGCTCTGATTGAATGCCATTCTATAAAGTAAATAAATAAATATGTATATATTAATAATATAAATATAATATATCAATTAAATTATTTAAATACAAACCATTATTAATATCTCTTATATACATAACTCGATCAATCCATTTAACTGGAGGATCTTCATCATCATCATAGTATTGTACAAACCAAACCCTTTCCTGCATAACTTCAGCCAATGCAGTAGCATAACCTGATGTTTCCATTAAATTTTTATCACATATGACTGCTAAGTCTCCTAAAGAAGGATCTGCATTTTCTACAGCTTCTTTAAATGCAGATTCTATGACCACTCGATATCCACCATATTCATCAGTTTCAGACAATAATGGCATTGACTTTTGTCCTGATGGGCATGAATTGGTCTCAACAATAATCATTTGACGTTGACCATTGACTGTTGTAACATTGAATAGATCTGTTCCTATTTATTATAATAATAATAGCAATATATAAATAATTATTATGTTGGAAACCAATTGAAAATCTAGTTCATGTGACTATAAACAGTGAACATTGATGATACTTATTAACATGGGAGAGAAAATATTATTAACAGTGATATGTCAATAAAAAATTTAAAATAAAATAACTAATTACAAAGAATAAATCAAATCTTTATTTGACAGATTAATTTTAAAAAATATTGTTTTTATTAATGATAACAAAGGAAGTTTTTTATAAAAGAAGAAACTAACCTGCCCAACGAAAATGTTTAGGTTTATATCTTGATAATAAATTGGTAAGAGCATTTAATGACACTCTAGGATTTAAATGGGTATATCTTGCTATTATACGTTCATTACCCAATTGAAAGAAGCTTGCAACCAAAGGATGAATTGTAGCATTTAAAACACGGGGATAAAAATGACGTTCAGGTTCAAACTCGCCAGTTTTAACTATTTCAGCAAATCTAGGAAATTTTTTTTTCTTCCCAATTTCTTCAATTATTATCTTTTGATCATGGTCTTTAATAGTTGTTGGAGTAAGTGTTGTAATAATTGAATTATCACTATCTGTATCAGAAGAATCTTGTGATGATGTTTTGTCAAATTGATGATTACAATTTTGATTTTTGTCATTTTGACTTATTATTGAATGACCATTTTCTAGAATATTGTGTGAAAATATATTATCAGGGTCAATAGGAAGCATTTTCTATAAATAATAAAAAATAGATTAATATATATTATTTTAAGAAATAATAATAATTATAACAGAATTTAACGGAATACATTTTTTAGAGTATTTTTAGGCTTTAATAAAAAAATTTACCAATTATATTTTATTGATAATTAAAGAAAAAAAAAATGAATAAAATTTTTTAAGGAATATTTATTAGATTATTTTATTTTATCTGATATGTCATCATTATTTAATTATTATTTATTATTGATCTTTAAAAAATTAATCAAAATAAAAATAATGGGAAGTTCCGTTTTTTATAGTAACATTTATTTATAACCTATGGATTGAAAGCGTGGTTAATATGCAAATCAGTTTTATTGCAGTATTACCGTAAAATAGCACCCTCTTTTTACAGCCGTGTAACAGAAGTAGGAGTGCTATCTTTTGAAACTTTACGGTAATATACAGTATAACCCTTGTTTCATAAGAAAATTTTATTTAAAATCCGTTGAAACGAAATTACTAATTATAATAATAATTGTAATCGCATTTTTATATGTTTTCATAATAAGTCCGTTGTTGAAACAAAGGTTATACTGTATATCAAAGTCGATCTACCAATTAAAGCATATAAAATTATTCGTTATAAAAAAAACTTTATAAGGTGGCTTGCTTTAGAGAAGCATTTTGTTTCCTTATAATTTGATGTTGTAGGTCTCTCGATCCTGATATTGTTGAGCTATTTATTTTTATACCAGAATTTTGTTGAAAATAGTTAAATAGATTTTGAATACTATCCAAAGCAACTGTATATGGTATTGGTGGTGTATTCATGGTTTCTTCTTCTTCTCCTGGTACCTCTTGTACTGCAGCAATTATCTCAATCATTTTGGAGATCTCTATTCTAGAGTCAATGTTGATATAGTTGCTTGCTGTGGTGATATCATTAACATTCATTTGATTAATAAGTGTTTGGATTGCATTTTCTTCATATTCTAATTCATCTGGTCCTCCTTCGAAAATTTCTTCATCATTTTCTTCAATCATTCCCTCATTAGGTAGAATACCTGTTCATTGCCAACAATGGTATATTGTATCATCAGTTTACATTACCCCAAGATTGTGCAGTCCAATTAGTTGCATTCAAAATATTTAATTTAGGAATTTCAACACCAAGTTCTTGGTGCTCATCAAATGTTCAAATTCTATCTTGGCATAGTAATTTTCTATAATGAGCCTAATACAAAGATAAATTTTATTAAAAATAAATTTATATTTAATCACTAAAAAAAAAAGATGAATATTATAATTACTTTAAATGATCATATTATGTCTTGATCACTTGGCTGAAAATGAGAAGTTATGTTTGGTGGAAGAAAATGTAAGTTAATATTGCTCAACTCCTCACCTTCTTCCAATTGATGCGATGAGCATTATCTACTAATAATAAAATGTTTCTTCACCTTTTTTGCATTTCTTGATATGCTGCAACAAAACCAGACAAAGTGAACATTGGTATTACCAAGGATTTCAGGGATCAAAATTTAGTAATGTGATCATTAAAATTTCCCCAAGTGATATATAGAATTGCCACTATATAAAATAGTTAATATGAAATTAATTTATATCAGATCTACCATGGAACCAAAAATTACGGCACCATTAGAAGTATTTTGAAGAAAGAACAAGGTGAGAAAATTGCTCCTTATATTTCCAAAATAAATAATACTCAAACACTTGATGCTTATCTAAAAAAAAGAAAGGATTACTTATGAAATTTACCAAGAAGAAAGAAAAATTATAAATGTTAGAAAAAGAAAACAAAATGAAAGTGTGCTATTATCTAACAGAAAGCAGAAGTCCTTAGAAGGAAAATAATTTTATTATTACAATTTTTTTACTGACTATTATGGTGCGGGAAGTCTATAACCACCACTTGCTGCGCCACGGACCAAATTTCAAAATGTGTCAAAATTTAAAATTCTTTAACTTGTCCAAAAATGCAATAACAATATTTTTTCACACACGATTTTATATATTCTTTTTTTTGTAACAAGTTTTTAAACGAAAACGTGACAGTGAGCTTCGTGCCTTTTACTCGCACAACGACATCACTCAGGTCAAGACAATGACAATAGTCTATTTTATCAATTCAAAAAAATACAAATAGGACGGCCGTCCCTACATTTTTTTTTCGTTTTTTTTTTTCGTAGAGAAATTCCCCTCAGGCCATTTCAGCGCACGGAACTCAACTTTCTACGACGTCCCTGTCCATCTTCAAGCAATCAAGTTTACAGAAG